TCATTTAATTTCGATTAAAAAAAAAACTACTGAGCGTAGCCTCAAAGTAAATATTTTGTTTTGACGTGCATTGATATAGGGTTGCATCAAATCTAAATTTACTGGCAAATATCATCTAGTTTTTTTTATTGAGCTGATTTTGGTTTTAAAATGTTTGTCGTAGTCCAGGGTAGGTCTAAACGGTGAGCAAATACGCGCGCGATATTGTTTTTCTGTAACAGACAAAATTCCACGCGAGCGAAGCCGCGGGCGGAAAGCTAGTATGTAATAGAAAGAGAGGTCAATAAGTCAAAATGACTAGCATGCAACTACTCGCGTATAAATTGTAATCACGCACTTATTACAATACATACATGATTAGTCCGTATGCGTACTGGCGATGTATATTTTGGAGGAAGATAATTGACCTAAGTCACTACAAAGTATACGCGAGCAGTACGCAGCGTATGCGTACTGGTCGTGTATAGTTTGGAGGAGCTTAGTAAAAAAAGTCATATCCAAACTATACTCGATTAGTTTCACACCCTTGCGTTCTGGCTATGTATAGAATGGAAAGACGCCACGCCGGCTGATCGCGTGTGATCGCGTTGGTTTAGCCGAACCTTTAGGGCGTGAGAAGCGCGACAGCAGCACGGCAGCGGCGTTTTTATAATGTGAAGGCAGGCATCCGCTGTCATATAGTATGAAATTATCAGCAGCGCGTCTGTTGCGCGTTTGCCGCGCTGCTAAAGTCGCCTAAATGTGAAAGCGCTCTGAGTGCCTATTCACTCGCTGAAAGTGTCGAAGGTAACAAATATTTAGATAAAATGAGCCTAGGGAAGGCTGAATGGGATACCAAGATATGTGTATCAGTTGTGTGTCATAAGAAGCGCCGGAAGAAACCCTTTTCAGTATCGTCACCTGAAACTAGATAGCGCTTTTGATAAATAACTGTATTTAGAAAAAAGAATTGTGTATGTGCTTGATATGAAATGTTTGTGTGTCTGAAATGACAAAGTCATCGGTGAACATACATACATAGAAAAAAAATACATACCTCTCCTCCTTTTTTGAAGTCGGTTCAAGCTCAAAACTCGATTCAAGCTTAATCAGACTCGAGCCTCAAATTCCAGTGATATTCGAATTTTGATAGATTTTGTTGAAATTTCGTATGACACCTACATAAGTTGTAGGGAAAATAGTTTTATTAACATTCAAACTCATGAACTACCGTAAGGTCACAGCTTATTTATTATTAACTAGCTTTGTGAAATTTTGTCTGTCACAGAAATACTTTATCGCACGCGTCTCTGTTTCAAAAACCGGGATAAAAACTATCCTATGTCCTTTCCCGGGACTCAAACTACCTCTATGCCTTTAAAAATCGGTTCAGTGGACAGACGTGAAAGCGACACAGACAGACAGACAGAGTTACTTTCGCATTTATAATATTAATATAGATTATTGGAGTGCTTGGTTGATGTGCTATATACCTCTTAAACGAGCCATTCCGGGGTCCTTCATTAGTCCTCAAGATCACAACGTGTCTGCATTTAATCATTAGATAAGAGCCATTCGACCAGACACCATGTCGGTGCCGCATCCGTTTCCGCCACTCGGCGAATTCGCGTTTATTCCGCTAATGTATGGGACGCAATTTGGGCAAAACTGGGGGGAGGAAAATGGGGGAATCGAATTATCCTTGTCAGGGGCTCGTATTAATAAAGGGATTTATGCTCAGACCTTTTTTGGTTTGTCGCGGGTGGTGGAAAACTAAACCATTGAGGGATCGTTTAGGTTCATATTATGGAGGATTAACGGTGTAAAGCGAGTGAATATCAATGGGTTTCAGATTCGACCATAAGGTTACTAAAAAATTCATAAAACTCATTTTAGTTGTCGCAGTAAGCGTTTCGATGAGCTAAGGACTGGATACTCGCTGTCTACTGCTATACCTATTTCCTGAACACTACAATCCGGGCATTTTCAAGGTGAGAGTGAATAGGCACTTACAGGGCAGATATGTACCTATCATCCTAGACTGCATCTTACTTAACATCAGGTACGATTGCGGTCAAATACCTGCCTTATTGTCCTGCATATAAAAAAGGTTTTGCAAATAGGCTTTCAAAAAGCACACACACACACACACACACACGTGTGCTGTGTGTGTCCTAATGTAATACCTAATGTAACTTAATTTGACATCTAAGTACAATTAATTTAAATTTCTTTGACATTTGCAATTCAAATTTTGTTCCCTGACATGTATTTATTGTATTGTTACTTGTTACTGTCATGATATATGAAAAACAACTATGAGTAAAATAAGTATTTTGAGTTGTAAAAATATGTAAAATCTAAGACTAAATGTAGCAATAATAATTAACATAACTTTAAGAACAAAAACTTTTGCACGTCGCATGCGACAGAATATGCTGGAATTAACTAAATTAACGTGTGTGTCCTAATGTAATACCTAATGTAACTTAATTTGACATCTAAGTACAATTAATTTAAATTTCTTTGACATTTGCAATTCAAATTTTGTTCCCTGACATGTATTTATTGTATTGTTACTTGTTACTGTCATGATATATGAAAATAAGAGACAGCTAAGTCTTGCAATATCAGTAATTAGTGCCTATTTTCACGCATTTCGCTGAACATTCCAGGGTTACTTCGCTGCGCGGCACAGCTGTGTTCCATCTGCATTTTCGAAGTATCCGAGTACCACCGGCTGCTGTGCTGTCGCGATCGACCGGTTTCCTGGTTTGCAGTCAAAGCGAGGAACGTGAGCTTATCATTTTTCATTACATACTTTTTATTTAATTGGAGTAATTTCGCTTCGCGAATCTCACAATAATAAGTAAATATGGCCGGCTTAAAGGAATTATATATTAAACGTAGCTCAATTAAAGGCCAAATAACTAAATTTAAAAATTTCTTGCTACAAATGAGCACTAAAGAGTCATTAACTAATTTGGAAATATCCGAATTAAGTCTTAGAATCGCAAAATGTGAGTCATTATCGACAAAATTTGATGATTTGCAAAGTGAGATCGAGGTTTTAAATTCTGAAAACTTGTCTTTGGAATTAAATGAGCGGGAAAGCATTGAGAGTGGCATTATTACAAACATGGCCACTGCAAAGGGGCTCATTGAGCGCCAAGCTCAAATAGACAAAGATTGTAGGCGTAATTCTGTCACTGCTAACGACACTCAATGTTCCTCCGATCATCATGATTTTGGTATTAAGCTACCTCAGATACAGATTGCCAAGTTTGACGGTTCATATTTTTAATGGCTTGAATTTCGAGACACGTTCGAAAACTTGATTCATAAAAACGATCGATTACAAAATATTCAAAAATTTCATTATCTTTTATCCTATTTGGAAGGCGATGCAGCTAGGATAATGTCTAATTTTGAAATGTCGTCACACAATTACGAAGTCGCTTGGAAATTGCTTTGCGACCGCTACAATAACAAAAGATTTTTAATAAATCAGCATCTTGGTTCATTATTTAACATACATAAACAAAATACAGAATCAGAAAAATCTTTACGTTTTTTGGTTGATCACGTAACAAAAAATTTGCGCGCGTTGAGCAGCCTAGGCCAGCCAACGGACAAGTGGGATACGCTGATCATACACATGATGACTTCCAAGTTGGATAGTCAGACGCTTTTGAAATGGGAGGAATTTCGTAGCACGCTAGATGAAATACCAACATTGGATCAATTCCACACCTTTTTGATCGATCGAGCCAACGTTTTAGATTCATTGCACCGTAATAAGTTTGATAGTAACCAAAGAAACGGTCAATCGTATTCTCGTTCAAATAACATGCCAACAAATAATTCACAGCACAAGCAAGAACGTCATTCATTCACAAAATCGTTTACTACTACTAGTGAGCGTAAATATAATTGCATTATTTGTAATGATAGTCACAACATCTATGACTGTTCAGTATTCAAATCGAAAAACATACAGGAGCGTTTAGATGATGTAAATAAATACAGTTTATGCATGAACTGCCTTCGCCATGGGCATGCCGAGAAGGATTGTCGCCTAGGGCCCTGTAGAATTTGCAAGAAACGTCACAATACTTTACTTCATGACCCAAGCGATAATACAAGCAATTTATGCCAATCCGAGGCTGTTGTTAATTTATCTGAGCATTTAAGCACTCAAGTCATTTTGTCCACAGCCCTAATCAAAGTATACAATACAAATACAGGCTCGTTCCAGCAGGTTAGAGCGCTTCTAGACTGTGGTAGCCAGTCGTCGTTCATCACAACGTCACTAAAGAGCAAATTAGGTCTTCATTCCACGCCTATAGACGCACTTAAAATCATTGGTATTGGCAACAATCATTCTAACAATGTCGTAGAAAGCTGCACTGTTAAAATACAGTCTTTATGCAGCCCATTTAATACAAATTTGTCTTGTCTCGTACTAAACGAGCTAACAAGCGAGCTGCCTAAGGCTCCTATAAACAAACATATGCTAAAAATTCCTAAACATATACAGCTGGCAGATCCCACCTTTGACCGACCTGCTCCCATCGACATGCTGATTGGAGCCGACTTATTTTGGGACTTATTAGGGAACGAAGAATCGTCTCTAAGTCCTTCAGGACCTAAACTACGAAGCTCAAAATTAGGTTGGTTGATATCGGGCCCAGTAAAGTCAAAATGCGCAGTCAATAATGCAATTTACACAAATCAAATACAAAGTAATCACGCCATTATAAACTCTACATTGAATGATTTAGATAATTCACTAGCTAAATTTTGGGAGTTAGAGGAACTGCCCACAAAATCACGTTTAAACAATAGCGAACAAGCGTGTGAGGATCATTTTGTAGCTAACACTTACAGGACAGAGACGGGTAGGTTTTGTGTAAGACTACCCCTAGTTGATTCTCCCGACTGCCTGGGAGACACTTACGCTCTCGCGAAGAAACGTACTTTGATAAATTTAGAGAAAAGGTTCAAGAGAAATACAGCTGTGCAATCTGAATATTCAAAGTTCATTCAAGAGTATGCAGAATTGGGACATCTCTCAAAATCAGAAGTCACCAAACCATACTCTAGCTATTCTTTATTGAAGCGAAAACGAGGTGAGAGTTTAGTTAATGTAAATTTAAAGTAAGTAACAAAGAGTAGGTGGACGAATTGACGCCTATCATTATTCGTTCGAAAAGAAGCATCCAATACTGTTGCACGCTTCTAATCACTTAACCAAGTAAATTTTCCAACGAGAACATTTACGTAACTTTCATGCAGGTCCGCAATTACTATTGGCCACAGTGCGCGAAACCATCTGGCCAGTCAATGGTAGATACTTAGCCAGGCGCACTCACAACAAATGTGTTCGATGCAAACGCATCCAGGGTAAAACTTTGTGCCCTAAAATGGGTAATTTACCACCCCAACGCCTTAATCCTGACTTTCCATTTTTGTCCGTTGGGTTGGACTTTGCTGGTCCATTCTATATTTTGAATCGTAAAGGCCGTGGCAGCCGATTGATAAAATGTTATTTGTGCTTATTTGTTTGCCTACGATTTAAATGCATACATTTAGAGTGTGTTAGCGATTTATCTAAGGAATCTTTTGTTATGACTTTAAAACGGTTTATAGCACGGAGAGGAAAGCCAATTGAAATATTCTGCGACAACGGCCGCAATTTTGTAGCTGCTGCTAAAGACGTAGGTGATTTTATAAAAAATAACACAGAACCTCTATCTGGCTTTGCAAGTCAAGAAGGTATTAAATTCATTTTTACTCCAACTTACGCTCCTCACTTTGGCGGCATCTGGGAGGCCGGGGTAAAAGCTGCAAAATATCATGCAAAACGTGTAATCGGCAATAGTCACCTCACATTTGAGGAAATCACAACCTTGTTTGCCCAAATAGAGTCAATATTAAACAGTCGTCCTTTGTATCCTCTATCATCATCTCCCAACTACCTCCTTTCCCTAACTCCGGGGCACTTTCTTATTGGAAGACCTCTAACGTCGATACCATCAGCAAATCTAAAAAACGCAAAAGAACACTCACTGAAGAGGTTTGCACGGCTAGAACAGATTCATCAGCACTTCTGGAGGCGCTGGTCCAAAGAATACATAGCAGAGTTACAGCAACGAATCAAATGGCGGAATGACACCTCTAGACTAAATGTAGGAGATCTGGTCTTGCTGCAAGAAGACAACACCCCTCCCTTGAACTGGAGACTTGGGCGTGTTACCAGACTATTCCCTGGCGCAGACGGTGTATCAAGAGTGGCCGACGTCAACACAACAAGAGGAAGTGTACGGAGACCCCTAATTCGTCTGTGCCCTCTACTTACCAGCGTTGATATCACGGGTTAAAACTTCCGTTTTAACGAGGCGGGAAGATGTTGAGGCGTTCAGCCTCCTTGCTCCAATCTGTGCGCGACGCGGCGTTTTATTTTTAATTAGTTTAGAACTTCTTTTGTTCTCTCTTGCTTTTGTCGTCGTACTGAACTGTCATGGTTTCAATATATTTGTAAAACCGTAAAAGAAAGCGTTTTAATTAAATGGCACCATGTTCTACGAAACAGTAATTTAGGGCTGATTTTTCAATCAGTTGACTTTTAACTATCATTTTGACATATTATTGCCCATACTGAAACTGTCAATATGCCAAACTTATTCTACAGTTAAGAGTAGGCGCACACCGTTGATTTTTCGTCGGCCGATAGTTTAGTCGGGCAGTTGATCAGTATGGGCATGTATGGGAGTGCGCACACTACGCTGATTCGATTTGGCCGATTCTTCATACCATTTAAAATCGGGCACAACTATCGGCCAACTAAAAATCAACGGTGTGCGCCTACTCTAAAAGTTATCCGAGGATTGAAAAATCAGCCCTTAGTAGTTAGTGACCTGATGATTTTGATTACTGCAAGAGTACGACTCTCTCAAATTTAATAGAGGCAAACGGAGGGATTGCTCTACACTTCCCTCACTGACCAGATGGTTCGGGAATGATCACGAAGAATACTGTTATTCATTTATTTATTTAAAACTAGCTGACCCGGCGAACTTTGTTCCGCCTTAATGGCAANCGGGTCCTGAAACATTGGAACGCGTGAAACTAGTGCTGCCTGGTCGCGGTCGGGTCGACTACCGCGCTGCGTGCTTCTGCCACCGCGAGCTGCTGACCATCGGCTACGTCTGCTCCGTCTGCCTCAGCGGTGAGTGGCCCCGGCTTCATACAGGGTGGAAACGATAATATGTTCCTGCCTGAGGCATCATCATTTCAGCCATAGGACGTCCACTGCTGAACATAGGCCTCCCCCAATGCTTTCCATGTTGATCGATTGGTAGCGGCCTGCGTCCAGCGCTTCCCTGCTACCTTTACGTCGTCGGTCCACCTTGTAGGTGGACGTCCCACGCTGCGTTTTCCGGTACGCGGCCTCCATTCCAGAACCTTGCTGCCCCATCGGCCCTCAGTTCTGCGTACTATATGCCCTGCCCATTGCCACTTCAGCTTGCTAATCCGTCGGGCTATGTCAGCTACTTTAGTTCGTTTACGGATCTCCTCATTTCTGATTCGATCTCGTAAAGAAACACCGAGCATAGCCCTCTCCATAGCACGCTGTGCAACTTTGAGCTTCTGTATAAGGCACTCACTAGTGAGCGCGTTTGATGCAAACTCACACTCAGCCCACTGGTCGTGGTCGGGTGGTCGGGTGGACGTAGTGTGAGTTTACGTCAAACNTGAGAAATAAAAATGACTTTACTTTAAACATCCAGACATCCAAACTTTCGCATCCGCGACTTCGTACGCGTGGACCTCGTTTTACTCCATTAGGGGTGGAGTTTCGTATAATCCGCTTTTAGCATCTATAGCGCATAAATAAATCTAAAAATGGCTTAATAGTGCACAAAATTGGCAATAGGTGGCATAATAATGGTTACTTTTGGGTTTGAAATGTGATTGAACGATGACAACTAACAACAGTTGTCAGTTGGGTAAAATTTTATTTTATTTGGAAAAAGACAAACAGTGGTAAATGGGTTAACGTGCGGGGGCTGAAAAATCATGTTGTGACGTCACGCGCGAATATTGGAAATTTTTGAAAATTTAAAAAGGTCCTTAAACTTCTCGAGGCTCTATCTTCGGTAATACTGGATGGATTGAGGTGAAATAAAGACTAGTGTATTGTATGTGATCTAAACTTTAAATTAAATCATAATTTAACTTAAAATTACAACTTATGCGTGTTGTCCATTCTATTTATGTACCTAAGTGGTTAAAATCTTTAGCGAATACTTTTCCAAGAAAAATCTTAAGAATAAGTAAGGGACATTAATTAGTCAACGACTGTGGTATCTTATGAATTTAGCAATTTTGGAACAAAACTATATTTTCTGGTAAGTTATTGGCAGTAATTACAAGAATGATATTGATGACGATTCTTACGATGATGAAAGAATCATTTTTATTACTGTTTTGTCCATCATTATTATTACGAGACAAGTTTGTGTATTCTCTCAATATTGTAAATTTATGTTGGCCCCTCTTCATTTTCACACCATTCCCTTTCACGACCTTTATCATCATATCTCCAGTTGTGTGCATCACCCTTATTATTATAGAAAATAGCCCTGTTTGTTTGTTTACCTTGAGGGCTTCCCGCAGAATACTTAAATTCAGCGAAAAAGTTTCAAGGCCCTAATTTTCCTAGGGTTCCGTTGTGTATTGAGTGTTTTTCCCAGTTGATTTATTATGGTCAGTAACAATTTTCGTTGAATACCAAATGAGCTGGGATGTAAGTTTGTGCGTAAACTCGAGAGAAAGTCGGAAAGATATTTTTGTCTTCAGTATAAAGTTTGAATATTAGAAGTACCTATTATTGTTTCTTCGCTGCGAGACTCGAGTTTTGCGTTATGAATTGCATAACACCGGTCGTTTGAATGGAGAGTTGTATGAAAAGTTCAAAGGACTTGGCTTTCCAACAGAATTTTTATCACTTGAACGAGCTTAAGGTGTAATTTTTCCCAAATCACTCTTATGTACCACGTGGTATCACGTAGGTATGACATAAGGTTTTTTCAAATCATAGCTTTTTCTACAACTTTATCATGGTAATTTCATATTAAAAGTATAATTAATAACTTCTAGATACCATCATCATCACCAGTCATTTAGACTCCACTACTGAAGGATTAATAATAATAATTTACCAGAGGCAAAATTGAAAATTTAGCCTACTCTTCGCACGCTGGACAGATGGGGCCTGATGATCTGATATATTATTGGAGAAAAATGACAAAGTACCTAAATATTATTAATTGACTTCAGTAATTACTAACATCCATACCTAATAGAAAGCTAACAGTACGTTTGATTGCACCTAAATTGTGTCATCAGGCACGATAATTGCCTAATGAGGTATCTTCAGACCCACATTACTATCCAAATGAGAACTGATATCGGGTGACTAGATGATTGTCATTGTAGTATCAATATTACCACTAATAGACATACTTGATATTATTGATTTGAGAGCCTTATTATGATTAAGCGATGCTTGAAGTGATTCTAGGTAATCTCTATTCAAAGGGGTTGATTTGATTGATTATAATATTCCTTAAATAGAAGCATTGTTGAGATACATAACTTCATTATCTTACCAACATTTTTAGTATTGCTTGGCTTATTCCTCTTTTTTGCTGTTTTATTTTTGTGCCACGTCATATTATAACTGTTCGGTTTTGTGATGACCAATCTTCAAAAATGTTATTAATATTCCTATAATTTATCTTATAAAGTAGAAAAAAGATTTCCAGAAAGACCGGTCGGGTGCTGCCACCATCCTGATGCTTTTAGATCGTTGGCCCACAGTCAGGAGTTTTAGCGGTTTTTAGCAGAACTTGAAGTTGTAGTTTAAGAAGACCTCCCAGTCAGTCCTTAGGGGAAACTTTTTCCTGCAGTCCTTAAATCGAAACGAATTATTTTCCAGCAGCCGATGTCTTTGTTGAAACGAAAGCAGCTACAGCTTTTGCGTGAAGTTACAAATATACTTTCTCACAAACTTCCCCGTATGTAATTTTAGAAGCACATAACACACAACTGTGCACACAACACATCTGCGCAACTCGTAACATAGAAGGCGCGTCCCACGCTGTTTGCCAAATGTTATTTACCGTACTGTCAAAGAAATGGGAAAATATTTTCGATTTTTAATGTCAGATTCTGCATTGGATATTGGATCCACTAGACTATTCTGCTATACTAATACAGTGTGAGTCACGTTAAAGTGTACATATGAAAATAGATTAAACTAGACCTATTTTTATCGATAAAAAAGAGGTCAAAATGTTTTTGAGATTTTTAAAAAAAAAATTACATAATTTTTTTTCTTCCGATTACTTATTGTAAAGAAAACGTAATAACTTTTAAACTAAGAGGTATATTCTGATAAAATAAAAACTGTGACAGTCAAAATTCCACGCGGGCGAAGCCGCGGGCGGAAAGCTAAATATAAATTTTGATGGGACATCGTTGGATCGTCCAGTCCTAAATTAATTAAGCAACGCTTGAACTCGACTCTGGTACTAAATGGGTATAAACCATTCTAAACAAGGTAAAATTATTGGGAATAATTTATGTTTACAAATGCATTATTCTCAAAAGTTATCAGTTCCTACTCGTAATAATCTAAAGTACTAACAGGGGTTTTACGTGGTTTGGTATTTCTAAGCTTAAAATCACTTTGTAGTTTAACATTGTGGGAGTTGTCTAAATCAAGGAATTTTCCTTTGACCTTTGAATGAGGTTGTGTAATTTTAACATCTGCATAATAAGGCATTTTGAATTTGACCTTCTGAAAGTAGTAATGTATCAGAAACATTATTTTGTTATTTTAATTTTCATAGGAGGTACAGAAAAGGGCACATCAAGCTTATGCCCGTATTCACAAACATTACTATGAGGTCTCACAGTACGGGTAGACGCAGTAGAGTGACACACAAACAAATCATAGAGCTCTAGAAACGAGCGTAGAAACGCTGTGCGTTCGATTTATTGCTTTATTTAAGCAAGCATCATTATGTGAATACGGATGTTAGTCCTATAGTACCTATCTTATGTGGTGGTCAGAGTTGCTATATTGCAACAAACATTTAAATTCTGACTAGTTTTTAGGGTTTTCGTCTTTACTGTTTCCTGGACACTCTAATTTCTGCTAATCATTGTATCTACAGAAAAAAATAATTTCCCATTCTGAAAATATCCACATACGTTCTTTCTACAGTCTCAAACTATAATCTGTGACAACTTCTGTACCTGCTATAACTATGGATAGATAAAATACCAATCTTAGCAAAACTTTCACGTAAACTCATCTAGCTTGTAACAGAACCTCGTAACGAAAAAGGCTCGACCTTCGCCACTATTTTTTCACTTTAATCCCCGAGCTCGCACAAAGCGGCTATAGGTTGTCAAAATAAAGTGTTATTCCTGAAGAAATTCCCTTGTTTGCTCCCACGCCGTTCGCTTCTATGAGTTTGTTTTTGTGGTACCCTTTATTTATTCCGTCGTAA